TCCAGCGCGGTGGGGAGCTGGTCGTACTCGCAGCAGAGGCGGCAGAGGGTGTGCTCCGGGGAGGGCCCGCCCAAGACCGACCTCATGGCCTTCAGTCCCAGTGTACCTGACTCTAGGGACAGAGAGGATCTGCAGCCAGTAACTGGAGATTCCCTTTCAAAGGTTAGTTTTAAATATCCTTTATTAAATCTGAATTTTTAATCTAATGTTTTATTTTCCTTTATTCTACCAATTTCTTCCTAATTAAAAAAAGTTCAGAATGAAATTTCCCTGACATGTTTTTTTACTTCTTATATACCCATTTTAGCTAATATATTTCAGAATTAATAAGACCCAAGGCAATATGTGTTGTTTTTAAAAATCTTCATTATTCAATGCATATTTATATAACTGTTATACATTTTGTGCTTACCATTTTCATCTATTTATTTTCAGTTGTAATCAACTTTTAAGAGAACATTTTTCTTTTATTTGCCTACAATATGTCAAAAAGTGCCCAGATGTAATATAACTCAATCACTTTAAAGTGAAAACTTATGTTACTTCCATTCCACTTAAGAAGCTACTTAAATGCACCTCCAAAATCACTTTCCCTTTTTTCCCCCAAATGTAGCCACTTTTAACTTTATAACTGTTATTAATTTTTACCTGTTTCCTGAACTTTATCTAAATAGAATTGCACAAAATGTGTTAGTGTGTGCCTGTGTTTGTGTGTTCGTATTTGTCATTCATCCTTCTATGGAATCATCCCTATTGCCATGTGGAGTTGGAGTGCACTTAGTTTGTTTTCTCTCTAGTAGTTTATTTTACCACTGTAGTGTCAGTTGTTTATCCCACTGTTGACAATTTTGCATTGTTTCTCCTTATGTCTGTTTCAAATAATGCTGCCATAAATATATTAAAAAAATTTCAGTGCCCATGTGCACAATTTTCTCTATTATTTAAGATTGAAATTAGTAGAGCATAAAATATAGACATATATTCATCTTTAATATATCAAACAGCTTTCTCAAATGTTTTTACCCATTTACACTTGTGCTGGCAGTGTATTGCTCTACATCATCTCCAAAATTTGGCACTGTCAGATTGTTTACATAGTTGCCATTTTGCTGGGTATGTTTAGTATTTCCATTTTATTTTTCCTGATTTATAAATGAAGTTGAGCCCCTTTCTTTATTATTATTGGCCATTTTTATATCTTATTTTGTACAATAGCTATTCAAGTCTCTGCCTATTTTTCTATTGTGGTGAATTTTCTATTTTTCAAAATTTCTTATATTCTGGATATAGCATCTTTCTTGCTTATGCGTTCTTCTGCTCTTCATTAGTTTTTTGGTGAATAGAAAATTTTAATTTTAGTTATGTTCAATTTATCAATCTTTTCATCTTTATTCTGTGTCATGAAGATAATTTCTTTGGTATTTTTTGTTTCATGTTCATCTTAGATATACAATCCTTTTCCAGTTTTTTTTTTTTTTGTCTTTTGTGACATACAGGTCAAGATTAATTTTCCCCAATGACATTCAACTGAAGCAACATTTCTTAAAAGTGAATTCCATGTTTTTACAAAATAATTATCCATTCTATAGGTATGACCTTTTTTGTTGTTCTAATCTACTAGACTTAAAAAAAATGTTTTTTAAATCAATGCCATGTTTCCTCTTTTATTTCAACCAAAATTTGTATATAAATTCCATAAGAATAACTTAGTAAGGTTCTTATTTGGAATGCATTGAATCTATTTAGAAATGTGGGTTCCTGGGTGGCTGAGTAGGTTAAGCATCTGACTCTTGATTTCAGCCCAAGTCATGATCTCAGGGTTGTGAAATTGAGCCCCACATTGGGCTCCGCGCTGAGCTTGGAGCTGCTTAAGATTCTCTCTCTCTTTCCCACTCCCTCTGCCCCTCCCCCCTTGTTCCTGCACATTCTCTCTGAAAATAAAAAAAAATGGTACATATGAATGTGTAGTGTGTTTTCGTATTGACATATTATCCAGCTAACTTGTTAAAATCGTATTAATTCTAATAATTTATCTTTAGGTGCTTTGTATTTTTCAAATAAACAATTATGCCATCAACAAATAATGATAGCTGTAACTTTTTCTTTCCCGATTCTTATACCCATTATATCTTTTGTGTGCTTTAATGGCATTGAATTGGACCACTAGTATTATGGTAAACAGAAATGGCAATACTGAGCAACCTTGTCTCATTTATGAAATCAAAGGAAAAATTTAAATAATTTATCTTTGGGCACCTCGGTGGCTCAGTTGGTTAAGCATCTGCCTTTGGCTCAGGTCATGATCCCAGAGTCCTGGGATTGAGCTCCCCCCCATCTGCTTCTCCCTCTGCCCCTCCCCCTGCTTGTGCTCTCTCTCTCCTCTCAAATAAATAAATAAAATCTTTTTAAAAATTTATCATTAATTATGTTCGGTGTAGTTTTAAAAAAATCCTTAAAAATTCCTTCCTACTTCTCTTCCTTTTTTGTCTTTATCTGGATTGGTATATTTTAATTACTCATTTTCTCTACTATCTTTTCAATTATACAGTACATTCTTTTACTACTTTCTTTATTGATTTCCTGGATTTTAAAACAAGCATCACTGACTTGTTAAAATTTAAATTAAATTAGTGCTTTTACCACTTTCAGACAATGCTAGGACCTTGAATAATAACTCCATTTGTCTGCTTCCACTTTTGTTTGGTATATGCCTTTCAGTTATACATTTATTCTAGGCACAGATTACACTATTATCATGTTTTGTACAGTTACATTTGTTTTTGTTTCTTTCTGGGATCATTTTTCTCCTGAAGAAATTCTTTAATATTTCCTTTAGTGGTGGTTAAGAATTCTCCAACTTTTTGTATATCAGAACTAGGCTTATTTCATCATCACTTTTGAAAAAGAGTTTTGCTGAGTATCAAATTCTGGGTTAGAAGTGATTTTTTTCCAAGCACTTTCAAGATGGTATCCCTGAAATGAATGCCATTCTTGAAATAAATTGCTGTAAGTTTATTCTTCAGGTAGTGTGCCTTTTTTCTTTCTCCAGCTGCTTTTTTATAATTTTCTTAGTTTTTGATATTCAGTGGCTTTATTATATGCTCAGTTTTAGTTTTCTTTGATTTTATCTTGTTTGCAGTATTGAAAGCTTCTTGAATATGTGGCTTGGTGTCTTTCATCATTGCAGAAAAAGTTTCAGCAGTCTGCCTTCAAATATCGCTTCTGCATCATGTTTTTTATCCTCTTCTTCTGTAACTCAAGGGATATGTGTGTGAAATATTTTCACTATATCTCTCGTATCTTCTATGCCCCTTTCTGTTTTTTGAAGATAATTTTTCGTCTCTTTATTACATGCTGGATATTTGTTCTGACCAATCTTCTAAATCAGCACTTTTCTCTTCTTAGTTCAATCTACTATTAAAATCATGAATGTAATCTAAACTTCAATTGTGAAATTTTTTAGCTTTAGAATTCTAGCTTTCCTTTCGAAAATAGTTTCAGTTTTCTGGTGAAATTCTGTATTTTAGTATGTGTTTATTTCAATATAGTAATCACAGTTTATTTGTGCTTTATCAGATCACTGTAGTAAGTGGATAATATGTGTGCCTTTTTTATTGTGATTTTTTTTTTCATGATCCTCTTGCTTGGTATGTCTGATAATTTTATTTTTTTTAAAGATTTTATTTATTTATTTGAGAGAGAGAATGAGAGACAGAGAGCACAAGAGGGAAGAGGGTCAGAGAGAGAAGCAGACCCCCCGCTGAGCAGGGAGAGCCCGATGTGGGACTCGATCCCGGGACTCCAGGATCATGACCTGAGCCGAAGGCAGTCGCTTAACCAACTGAGCCACCCAGGCGCCCCAAGTCTGATAATTTCATAGTGAATTTTGGATATTGTGCTTGAGAAGTTATAGTTTTTGTAAATGTCA